CACACTCAGGTCAAAAATTAGTTCAAATTTAGGGTTCATCACGAAGAGAACAATGCGTAAGGAATTTTGCAAATTAATTTCCTGTTTTTAGCTTTGCTTCCCCTTAAAGGATACGTTTGCAGTATTGCAGCTTTCTGAAAGTATTTTCAAAAATAGATTTATTCGACAAAAAAATTGCATGTCCATGGACATAGACTTGCTACATTCGTATTTTCGTATAAATGAATAAAATCATTGCGAACTGTTGAGGATTCCGCAAATTTTGAGAAGCCGAATAAAAAGATACAAGAGAAAGTTCAATCGTGAGTCATAAAAGAATTAATTTTGAAGAAGTGCTTTCTGGTCGAGCGTCAAATTATAAATAAGAGAGAGAGCGAAAAAGCGCAGAAATCACAAAATAAACAGCGCATGAAAAAAAAAAAACTCACCGTATCAACTGTTATTGTGAAGAATAGCGCTACAGCTGCAAGTAGCGATGGCCTGAAAGCAAACAGCGATTACTTTTTGCACTAGCTTAGCTTAGCAGATGGCCCAGGATTTCTGATCTGCCTATGATAAATTGTAACGAGCTGAGTCATCAGGTTCGAGAGTTTGCTCAAAAAAAACTTCGGGAACAATCGCTAGGAAGGGGCACGCTTCGTACCTCAAGAATCAACCGATGAAATCAACGTGGAAGCAGCATCTTACGGTGGCACTTGTGGCTAGCATGAAAAAAGTAAAAAAAGATCGATGGACCAATGGCAAAAGCGCGGAACAGATACCATATCCACCCTAACACAACGGCCACTCCATTGTTTCGGTGTAAGCAATGCGGAAAGGCTCTGGTGTGAGATTCGAATACTGTACCTTGAGGGATGAGTAGAACGCTACCGAATAAGTAACAAACATTACTGCATAAGTAACAAGCATTACTGAATAGGTTAGCCTAGTGGAATTTAAGTTGTCTTCATAGGCAGAGCACAGTAACTAATTTCATAGGCGGAAAGACGCACGAATGGTACCAGTTTCACAAGTAGGATCGACGCTGGTAAGGCTCTCGATCGTTCCTTTTCCAAAAATTGGTTGCGAGCAAACGGGCCTTTTTGCAGTCGCCAATATGTCGGAGCAAATTTCACATCAGAAGTGTTAGTAAGATGTAAAAGGTGTCGTTTTTCTGGCAAACTGTTTCGTTTTAAGAGAAATCAGCTAGGTAATTTTTGCTTATTAGCATGTCAGAGGCCTCATACATCTTACGCTTCCGAGGCAT